AATTTCTAATAAATATTATGTAAGTCTGATAAACATCGGATTCAATTTACAATGATTGCTAGTGTTATAATAGAAAGAAAGAACATAAAAATATGTGTACAAAGGGGCATCAGGTACATATGGGCCACATAATAACAATGAGGCTGTGAAGTGATAGAGAATGTAAAGTGCATATAAGAAAAAGTTACAACAAGATCGTCATTAACTTCTATTCTAAACCATATCTGATAACTTCACAAGCCACTGTGATGCATTATCTCTAGGAACCCAATTAAGAAGTCATGAAGCATCATTAGAAGCCAGTACTGTACAGCTTTCTTTCATACCGCGATAATATGTCATACACTGACCACCTCTCCACTTTTTTCAACCAGTCCCAATATCAACAAATAATGCATGACGACATTTGTAGATCATATCCAAACCACCGAAATCGATGTTTCAAAATAGTGACATCAATTGAATTATTGTTGCTGTGCTCGAATACACGATACCGAACCTCTGCATTACAAACATGATGTTGCCACTGGATGTTAACAATCCTTTGGAGACAACGATGATTAGACACAGAGAGTCGTCTAACATCCTCAACTCGGAGAGTTAAGATACCTCAAACATAGAGTAAAACTGCCCTTACTAATGCGTTGTAGATCTGACCAGACTAAAACCACGAATGTAACAAAGATGATCTTCACACTTAAAGTTTCACTCGTCACGAAACAGATGAATCTGTGACCGATAAATAGGATTTACGTACCTTTTCTATCATTTAATCAAACATAACGTATATTATTACTTAAATAACCTACTAAAAGTTTATACAAAGTATAAATAATACACATTCCTTCTTATCATATTATAAACACATACAGATTTATGGATTCCCAATGAATTTCTCATATATGGAACCTGATGAAATTATTGCCAGAGTAAAATCAAAAGGAATTCATGAATTAATTGGTAATGAATTCATAACAACATCTAATAGTATGAATCGAAATCAATCAATACAACAAAGAAGTTCCATGATGGATTTTTCAAAAACTACATTAAATAGTGTAACAGATTTAGTATTTAATTCAAAACCATCATTAACTTCATTACGATTATTACAATCAGATTCATTAAATGTTCAATTTGTATTAAATGTCTATGTGAAAGCTTATCCAGGACCAGTTCTATCTATATGGATATATATGGCTGCATTATGGCGACGTACTATAACAGAGTTATCATAGTACCACAAGAAGAAGAAGAAGAAGAAGAAGAAGAAAAATCCCAGTTTCTAATGGATAATACTTTAGCATTTCATAATTTTGTAATAAACCTACACATGTTTACCTTGAACTAATACTAATACGTTCTTGTAAAGTAATAGACGTAAGAAATAAAACTTAATATAGAATGAATTCACTTACGCCTGTTACTCCTAATGGAGCATAGGCCGCCGACCAGCATTCTCCGACCCACTCTGTTCTGGGTCTTCCTTTCCAGTTCTATCCAATTTTTGTTCATTTTCTTCATGTCTATCTCTATTTCTCGGCATAATGTATTCTTTGGTCTTCCTCTTCTCCTTTAGCTTGTATCTTCCGATTATTGTTTAGGACTGCAATTGTTGTCATATGTGCATCCTGTCTCAATATTGTCACAAGCTTTATGAGCAAATATGGATAGTGGTTAACAGTGGAATCCACGACGAGCGTTTTTTTTTACTTGGGACTTGTCAGATGAACATACATGAATTCGGGACTCGAACCCAGTATCGTTTGCTTTAAAATACTGATCAGTTGCAGTCCTCAATAGCAGCAATTGAATGTAAACTTCACCTCATTGCACAAGCAAGTAGCCATCAGGACTCAGCAGCTAAGTGGATAACGTGATAGTGTTGGGAGCGGACGGTATATGGTTCGAATCCCGGAGTGAACATCATCTCTGAGACGCATGTACATTCGTCTGGCGCGCGTCCTGGATTCCACTGCCTGTAACTAACCATCTTTGTTTAGATTGCTTGTGAATTAAGGTTATAAAGAGGCAATCCAAACAGTATACACATATACCGATAATAGACTGATCAATTGCAGTCCTAAATAACAATGAGAAGATTCAAGTAAAACAACATCAAGTGAATTCAATGGGATTACTGTTGTTTCATCAATATATCACCGTTTTCTGTTTTATAATCGGATTAGCTGAATTCGATTAAGCCTAGGTAACTTTTAATTTGTCTTCATTAGTTCTATCAGTTAGAGTGAACAGTCAGACTGTTATTAATAATGGATTAGAATGATCAATTGTATTGAACTTATATCCATATGAAGATGGAATATCAGTAGGCGTTCTCCTCAATATAAGTCTGTTGTAGGAATATATATAGAAATAAATGAAAAGAAATCTAATGGACACTTTATTAGTGTATCCTTACCTCAAATAAGATAGTAACTTGAAAGGTATGATATTGAGAAATAAATAGTTAAATAAAATGTTTAATCATTATTATCAGTCATGCAGATACATGTCTAATCTTTACCATATTATATGCCATCTCTAACTGCTTATATGTAAAGGTATGTATATTGGAAGGACAGAAAAACAGGTTTTCATATGTTTTGTTGAAAATATTGCAAAGAACGTGTGTTTTCAAGAGTAAGATACTCTTTGCAGATCTATAATGCTATTGTGGATCACCAACGTAGATGATCTATGTCGAAATGATTGGAGGCCTACTCGAGTAAGACGTGAATGGTGTGACGAACCAACTAACGTCGAAGTCACACCTCGTGGTCAGCACCTTACGTGGACTAAACCATTGACGTATCAAGTTACTATAGATGCTTTGAAGACTGTACAACACAAAGGACGTTATTACAGAAATATACTAGTTAAAGTAGATACAAGCGAAAGTGAGACCACTGCCGCATGGGCCAGTCCATGGCATACGATTAACTAGTGCGCGTTGGTTGTACTTGACCTTGGCAGGGAGCGATGATCTGTTCGACATTCAGTGATCCAACTGCTGGATGATTTGGCTAGGGCTGAGTGACATTTCACTGGCCCTACACTATATCTGACTGAGATCGAAGATGAAATGGACGAGATAAATGCATTCTACATCATCGAAATTTGAAAAAAGTTACAGCAATTAGAAGGTTTAAACGTGACTTTTCAATTTAAAGTGTATCAGTGGTTAAATTTCACTCTTAGACCTTCCATGTTGTGTGGAGTCCTATATTAAGACGAAACGGCCAATCAGTGGTTCCAGATTTTCAATGGCAGTCCAGCTTAGATTGACTCGTGAATTCACCTTTTAAAATACTACAATTTCCACCAATCCCCATTCTGATAATATTCATATGCTCAGTAGTGACAAGGTTCAAGCTGTAACCAGTTGAGTCCAATCCGTATCCAGTATGAGACAGTTACCCACCTCAGACAATGGATGAAGGGTTACGTAGAATCAAGGATCGATTGAAATTAGACATTAACACCAATGGATACCGACTTAGAGGTCTAGAGATTAAGCGTTGTATGCGTGACCAAAGGTTCTTGGTTAGATATCCATATGCGGGATCTTAGATAAACGCTACTGAGAAGTCCCATACTATATAAATAACTGAATTTGCAAACATTTCATTTTTCTTGATTTAGTGTTAATTAATAGTTATATATATAACCAATCTATTGAACAAGAATGGAATATACAAACAATGTAGATACTTTTCTAAGAGAATACAACTCATATGTATATACAAAGTAATAAATAGCCCTCAAATGCCCTGGTACTGTCGAGAGTGGAAAGATTTCACTCTCCCTCTCGAAATGCTCTTACATGGTCACTTTCACAAAAGTTCTACTCACTGCCTTCTCAAGGTGGGGCTGTTGTTTACGAAATAAAGAGGATGAAAAGCGAATGTTCGACACTTTAACCGGTTGGTGGACACGGTCTATCTAGAGCAGTTGGAAAACCCTGATTGCAAACTGATGGTGCTCATGATCTCCAGTATCCTGAAGGAACAAATGGTGTATGAACAAATTGTTGATAACCGGCTACCATGAAACTGCATCGCCCTACGTTGTTTCCCTATCTTGTAAATCAAACCTTCAGCTGGAATGCTCTAGATGTTACCCTCCCCACAGAAAACCACCTATTTTGATTTCGGCATCCAAGCAACATCATGGCGTACACATAAATCAAGTGACTTATGTGACGCATATCTTTTCAGTAACCCATTGTACCTAGTCCACCAGGGTGCTTGGTATCTGTGTGGTCACGCCACACGATTGAGCTGTACTATTCAGATTTTAGTGTTAAAGCCTATACAATGTCTGGTTCTCCTGTGAAACAGGATTGAGTTGTATTGTTCGGGTTGTCATGTAAAAGTCTGGGTGATGTCTGGTTCCATCGAAAATCAATGTAAAATTACCCTGACCTACAAGAGTATTTTATATAACTTTGAGCTATAACCTCTTACTTACTTACGCCTATTACTCCTAATGGAGCATAGGCCGCCGACCAGCATTCTCCAACCCACTCTCTACTGGGCTTTCTTTTCTAATTCCATCCAATTCTTGTTCATTTTTCTCATGTCTATCTCCATTTCTCGACGTAATGTGTTCTTTGATCTTCCACTTCTCCTTTGGCATTGACGACTCCATGTGAGGGCGTGTCTTTGTGACGTAGTTCAGTGCTTTCCTCAATGCGTGTCCTAACCACTTCCAACGCTTCTTCCTCCGCTAGGATCTGGTTTGTTCTCTCCTACAGTAAGTTGTTGTTAATTGTATCTGGCCAACGGAACTATAACCCCATTATACCAATATTTATGTGTTCAAATAATTAAATAAAAACAATAATAAATATTGATTAATCTTATAATTAACTTAAGAGAAATCATCATCATCATACAACTTAATGTACGATCTCTTCTTCTTCTTTCTTTCTTCTTTCTTTTCTCTTCTTTCTTTTCTCTTTTTTCTTTTTTTTTGTTTTTTGTTTTTTTGTTTTTCATCGTAAACTATGATGAAGTTGTTAATAGTTCATTTGTTGGTTTTTTTTCTTTAAATGAAGTAAACGAATTAATCCATAACTGAATACATTGAATATGGTGATTATTAACCATAGTAATAAATAGTATAGAAAACGATATAGAATTGATAGTATATCAGAATTTGGTAATTCTATATAATCATTTAATGAATTTGTTATCTCTAAGCTAGAAAAAAAAATAGAGAAGAAAAAAGAAAGAAAAAAAAGAAGAAGAAGAAGAAGAAGAATAGTAAAGATGAATCAAGTATATTTGAATGATAACTATACTGATCTTGAAAGTTTGATTAGCTCTAATGAGTTAGTGTGTTTAACGAAATCTTAGGATTGATTCGAAAAGTTTGTTTGGCTTTTGCCAAATTGCGTCACCTTTGGCGAAGGCGAGATATCCGTCTATCAATAAAAGGACGGGTGTACTGCGCAGCAGTTCGTTCTGTTCTACTTTACGACTACGAAACATGGCCATTAAGAGTTAAAGATACTAGTTAGCTACTAATATTTGACCACAGATGTCTTAGAACTATTGCTCTCATCTACTGATATCACCGGGTAAGTAATAGTGAGGTTAGACGCACGGTATTACGGAATGATGGTAAATCAGTTGATGAGGTTGTGAATCTTTGTTGACTGAGATGGTCAGGCCACCTGTTACGTATGCGTGAACACCGATTACCACGACGTGCAATGCTAACCGGTGTTGGAGATGGTTGGAAGAAAGTTAGGGGCGGCCAAACTAAAACATGGCATCTGTGCTTGAAGTCACTAACTTCTAGTCTGAGCCATGTTGGTAGATGGGGAGTACTTGATTGAGATCCGCGTGTTTATCGTAACCAATGGTTGGAGACCGTGTGTGACATGGCTTAGAATCTATCACACTAACTTAGGTGTATACACTCTCTGTCTTCTCTTAAACTAAGAGATTAAAATCGCTTCATATCTTTCTTTCTACGAACCAATTCTTTCTTCCTGTACTATATCCTTATTGCAATCTTTCTTTTATATATTACGACCTCTGAATTAACTACTTTTATGAATCCGGTGTTGATCTTGCTGTGCTATTGGGGTATGGCAACTTGGACTGTTGCATATATGTACCTGGTCCTACGTTGTAGCTGACTAACTGACCGATTTGAAAGATGGGTTTAACAGAACGAATAATTAACTCTCTCTCTTTTACTATGTTCATCTACTACATATGGTTTACATTTGTGACAGGATGAGATATTATGATATTTGTCAAGTAGAATGTATTTAGCACATCCAAAATAAATTATAGAATCGAAAAACAAAAAAAACTTTTTAATTGAGATCATGAACTGAATGATGTTAGACTAACATTCAAAACCTGGAAGTCTTGGACGTCTGTTTCATCTCAGTATAGGACTCCTCAGCAGTGAGCATCCACGACCTCTTACGTAGGACTTGAACGGTGGACTTTTAGTCTCGTGAGCTAATGCTTAACCTCTAGACTACTGAGCCGGTCGGCATTCAATGGTGTTAATGTCTAACTTCAACTAAGCCATCAAATTGAGCCACCGTCTACCATTGTCATCAGTCAGTTACTTTCTCACAATAGACCCGATTGTGCAAATGTGGGTATATGTGTATCACGTGACCATATCATATATAATAAAAAATGAACTTACTATGCAATGTATATACTAATAAACATACAACAAGGAATGTATGAAACTAAAAAGGGAATTCGTTTTGGTTTCCATAGTAATGCATCAGTAATAATCACGATTACACCCATGGAATTCTGGTAAAATATATAAATGTAATTGGAAATATGAATTAATCATTAACGTTAAGAAATATCAACAATGAATACTATAGTAATTTAATAGTTCAATTCATGAGTTAATTGAAGCTAGATCACCATGGAAAACCTGGAAGCACTAGACGGCCGTTTCAGTTGTGCGCGCGAACGTTTAACCTTTAAACCACTGAGTATCCAACTATGTTAATGTCTAACCTTAACCAATGCAAGAAATTGCGTGACCATCTTCCATTGTATTGAGATAGATAACTGCTTCTACCTGACATAGATGAGCTCCCCTGGTTACGGCTTCTCATTGGAACTCCGAGAATTCCTTCACGAAGTTAGTCACTAATAAACACATAGCCATCCAGTACATCTAGGTTTTCAATGATGACCTAACATCAACCGATTTATGATCTTAATCAAAAACTTACTAATCTTCACAATCCCACAGTTATATCAAGAATGCAGTTGAGATATTGCAAATATACATTATTATTTATTATTATAAATAATCTATTCAGTGCTCATTATCAAGTTAAACGATGGTAGTACGATTTCATATTGAACTACTTTGACTCTGATAGACATAAAGTTAAATGAAGTTTCTTTCTTCCTGTATCATTGAATTAACTACTTCTATGAATCTCGTGTTCATCTTGTTGTCCTAATGAGATATGGCAATTTGAACTAATGAACATATATGCCTGGTTCTACGTTGTAGCTGACTGACTAACTGAAATGAACCTGATTGTCAAAGTTATTGGTTTGAACAGAGGTTTTTGTTTTTCTTATTGATTAATTGAATTGAAAGATTTTAGATTGATCTTCTTCATAATCTATATGAAAGAGAAATCTTGAAATACCATTGCTGATGATTTTCATTCTAAGTTTCATAAAGTGTGTATTATCTACACTTTGTGTGAATTAATTATTCTATCTCTATAATCTAATTCACAATTGTAGGTTGAATATTGTGCAAATATGGGTATATGTGTATTACGTGACCATATCATCCATTGTCTCTATCGTATCGTATTATTGTTGTATATAGTTAATATCTTAACTTAACGTATTATCATATGGTGACATCGATTTTATATTGATCTATAAAACGCCGCTCAATATCCATTGGCCTGATACTATCAGCAACAGCCTTCCGTGGCAGAGTACAAACCAGCCTTCAGCTGAAGAGGAAATTAGGAAAAGACTATAGAAACGGATAGGACATACATTATGCAAATCATCAAATTGCATCACGAGGCAAGCCCTAATTTGGAATCTTGTAGGGAAGAGGAAAAGAAGAAGGCCAAAGAACACATTACGTCGGGAAATAGAAGCAGATATGAAAAGGATGAATAGGAACTGGAATGAGCTGGAAAGGATTGCCCAGGACAGGGTTGGATGGAGAATTCTGATAAGTGGCCTATGCTCCTTCTCGACGAGTAACAGGCGTAAGTAAGTAAGTAAGTAATAAAACGCCGATCAATAGAACATCAGTTCATGATGGATATGACAAGTTACTCAGTTAGATGATGATCTTCTAACTTGATCTATGGAATTCACGCAATAACTAAAAGACTAGACATACTTGATTTCTTGTCATTCAGTGACCGATTATTTTAAAAGGCTCAGTCTGATAAGTGGTGAGTTGCGTCCTGGATAATTCAACAATCACATCCTAATCTGTCATATCAACTTATACCATTTCGAATACTGCAATAAACTCTAGTTTCCTCAATACTGCAGATATTCCTTGCTGACAAATGTCAACCAACATGAGACAATGATTTCTGGGCTTTTTACACTTTATCTGTAACAATCAGATGTCTAAGAATAGTTTGTGAGATGATGAATTATTGAAATCGATGTTAGTTATGTAAATTAATTGAGTCAATTTGATTAGAACCAAGTGCTTTACAAGAGTATCAATGGTTAGTAATCACTGATCAACGAATTGTAATCGTCTTTAACCTCTTTGATATGTGCGTACTTAAATACTAGCCCGCAAATGCCATGGTACGGGTGAGAGTGGGGACAGCTCTCCTTCTCGAAATGGTCTCAAGTGTCACGTGCATATAACCACTGTCAGGGAGGTCCTACTCAATGCTTTGTCGTGGCGGGGTGTTGCTTACGGAATTGAGAAGACGAAAAGCGCATTTCCGGTGCTTAAACCAGGTTAGTGGATACGGCGGATCCACCTAGGGGAGTTGGAAAATCCTGATTCTAGACCAATGGTGTACATGGGCTCCATGATCCTGAGGAAGCAAATGGCATATGAACTAATTGTCGGCCACCGGATACCGTAGGACTGCGTCTCCTGACGTTGATCCACTACGTTGTACATTAGACCTTTGGGTCAAAGGTTTTGGGTGTTAACCCCTAAGTAAACCACCTGCTTCTGTTTGGGCACCTGGGCAGTATCTCATCCCTCACACAAATCGAACTTAAACACTAAGTATATTTGAAAGCAGTACTCATTAGTAAATCGAGTGATTTTATTCATAGTTTTCATCTAACAAGTTGAATCATTTGTAGTCAACAAGAAACACAGTACTATACAGGTTGTGTACTATTGATCACTTGTCGACTAGCTATATATGTAATCCTGAGAGGGTTATACTCGCTATCAGATTCGATCCCATATCACCCAGCTTCATGGTCATAGACATTTCCATTGAACTATCTGAATTAAAGTTAGGGACTTAGACGTATTGACTATTGGTCGATTAAATCCTTTAGGAAGCATTAGTTTTCTCAATATTTCAGGCACAAATGTCAGACATGTGCCAAATACCACGAAACCTGGATCATCCATGGTTTCCTGTCAACTAACCTAGACTATCGCTTTACATTTCAACAATGTTCAATCACTTCATACTATAGATAACCGTTTGATGTTAGTCTACCATTGAAAACCTGGAAGCACTGAGCAGCCGTTTCGTCCTATTATTAGGACTCCTCAACAGTTTCACACATGAAAGCTTAAACTCTAGACCATTGAAACAATGAATAATTAAGAAATGATTATAAATTTAAGAATGATAGTATACAATCAACTTACAATAAAATGCAAATAATATAATGGTAATTTATTCAATTCTGGATTCTTGATTATTATATTTGAATCAATGAAATATACCATCCAATAGATATGAAATGATGTCTAATTGAATCCAATAATGAAATGATATAGATAATGTATATAGAATACTTACCAAAGTATAAGTAGCTATAAATATATATATACAACTATGTATTGTATACTGTTTGTACCATTGAAATGGAGTTGATGTAATCAAGTATAATTGTAATAAACACTATAATAGAATAATATGAATCAATTATTACCATCATGAATATGCTTTGAATAGTGATGATGATGATGGTGCTTTGGATGATGATGCTTTGGATGATGATGATGATGCTATCGATCATGGTGATGGTTTGGATCATGATGATTATGATGATGCTTTGGATGATGATGACGATGATGCTTTGGATCATGATGATGATGATGGTTTGGATCATGATGATGATGATGATGCTTTGGATGGTGATGACGATGTAATCAACTTACGAATATAATAAAATGTAAATATTTCATTAATTTTATTATATTAATGAATTGAATTGATTCATTTGGATATAAATAATAATGACCAATTATTATAGATAATAGAATATTGATAAAATTCAATGATCGATATATAATGGTAACAGTGAACCAAAATGTTTGAACTGGTTTCATTGAAAAAGACAAAATGAAATGTGATCAATTCAAGGAATAAGTAAAGTTCTATCCTTTTCTTTCTGGTATCTACCTGGGTACATATATATATATATACCTATTTTGTAGTACGATATTATATAATATTGATTTTAGTCTAATTAGTAGATTAATTACATTTGTGTGTAGTTAACTATTATCAGATATTATTGACCTATTATGGTGGTGGTTCTGATGACGTTGATAATGATAATCATCATTAGCATTCCAAATATTTAGATCGAAGTGTTGAGAATTCATTTTTTGATTCCGTTTATCAATTTAATTACTTACTTACTTACTTACTTACTTACTTACTTACTTACTTACTTACTTACTTATTTACTTACTTACTTACTTACTTACTTACTTACTTACTTACTTACTTCAACACTTACTTACTTACTTACTTACTTACTTACTTACTTACTTACTTACTTACTTACTTACTTACTTACTTACTTACTTACTTACTTACTTACTTACTTACTTACTTACTTACTTACTTACTAACTTACTTACTTACTTACTTACTTACTTACTTACTTACTTACTTACTTACTTACTTACTTACTTACTTACTTACTTACTTACTTACTTACTTACTTACTTACTTACTTACTTACTTACTTACTTACTTACTTACTTACTTACTTACTTACTTACTTACTTACTTACTTACTTACTTACTTACTTACTTACTTACTTACTTACTTACTTACTTACTTACTTACTTACTTACTTACTTACTTACTTACTTACTTACTTACTTACTTACTTACTTACTTACTTACTTACTTACTTACTTACTTACTTACTTACTTACTTACTTACTTACTTACTTACTTACTTACTTACTTACTTACTTACTTACTTACTTACTTACTTACTTACTTACTTACTTACTTACTTACTTACTTACTTACTTACTTACTTACTTACTTACTTACTTACTTACTTACTTACTTACTTACTTACTTACTTACTTACTTACTTACTTACTTACTTACTTACTTACTTACTTACTTACTTACTTACTTACTTACTTACTTACTTACTTACTTACTTACTTACTTACTTACTTACTTACTTACTTACTTACTTACTTACTTACTTACTTACTTACTTACTTACTTACTTACTTACTTACTTACTTACTTACTTACTTACTTACTTACTTACTTACTTACTTACTTACTTACTTACTTACTTACTTACTTACTTACTTACTTACTTACTTACTTACTTACTTACTTACTTACTTACTTACTTACTTACTTACTTACTTACTTACTTACTTACTTACTTACTTACTTACTTACTTACTTACTTACTTACTTACTTACTTACTTACTTACTTACTTACTTACTTACTTACTTACTTACTTACTTACTTACTTACTTACTTACTTACTTACTTACTTACTTACTTACTTACTTACTTACTTACTTACTTACTTACTTACTTACTTACTTACTTACTTACTTACGCCAGTTACCCACAATGGAGGAGCATAGGCCACCGATCAGTATTCCCCAAATGATTCTGTTCTAAGCCTTTTTTCTAATTCTATACAGTTGTTGTTCTATCTTGTGATGTCTGTCCCTAACCTACTTTTATCAAGAGAACGCAATTGGTATAATGGAAACAATTATTATAACCAATTTTAACAGTTATTGTTTTACTGTACTTGTTTGTTTAACTATACAAAAACCATACCTTCTTCTGTTGATATTGACCTTCCACGCTCTCGGTTACGCTCAGTAGTTCCACTTGTACTCTTTGGCACGATCTTGCTATTCTTTCGATACCACGAGATTGCCAACAAATATATCTTATTACAATCGTCAACTGCCTTCTTGTTTTTATACTACGATGGGATCCAACCTAATAACTGGTACGTAGTCTCAGTGTAGTGGTGATCATAGTCAACCGCAACTCGACACCACACTACGACGCTACAACTGGTAAGCCAAATCCAATTCTCTACAAAGTGTCTTGTTTGGCCCTACTATTTTTCATTTTCATTTAGGATTCCAAGTGAGGACTTATTTTGTGAAGTAGTTGGGTACTTTCATCAATGTGTGTCCTACTCAATTCCAGCGATTCTTCTTGATTTCTTACTCCATTGAAATCTGGTTTGTCCTATCCCAGAGTAGTGTGTTGCTGATAGTATCCGGTAAACAGACGTTGGGTACTTTGCGTAGACAACTATTTATAAATACTTGTACTTCTTTGATGATGGTTGTGTTAGTTTTCTAAGTTTCAGCTTCGTACAGTAGTACTACCTTGACGTTCGTACTGAAGATATTAACTTTGATGTTGACTGACATTTGTTATGAGTTTCATGTGTTCTTCAACAAAACGAATGTGGTTTTTGCTTTGCCAAGCCTTGCCTTCACATCTGAATCACATCCTCCTTGTTTATCGATGTTGCGTGTCCATGTACGTGGAAGTTTCCACAGCAAACACATCTCTGACAAGTATGATTGGTTTGGTGTTCTCCACATTGTATCTGAGAATGTTGCTTTTTACCTTGTGTATTTCGAAATCTGCTGGTGAAATGCTTGCTGTTAAAATGTATGTCATGACCTGTATTTATTGAGAGAGAAGTACCAGTTCATTGACAAATTTCATATCGTCTATTTGAACGCAAGCCGTCCATTGATTTCTCACTGAATCACAATATTCACTTTCACCACAAAGTTTTCTTACAATCTGTCAGCGTGAATGCAGTCGATAACTACCCAAATATAATCTCCGATTCAAGTAAGGAAATAGAATAAGAAATTTCGAGACGAAATTATAATAATGACAAGAACGATTCATGACACAAGTGATAGTGAGCCATTACACATATCAATACTCAGGTGTAACGTAATCTTCTACAATCCTTGATTACAATGTCCACTTGGATAACAGTACATTAACGGGGAAGTGATCATCATGGAAATAACACGATAATGATTAATTCAATAAGAACCATAATTGTTCATTGTTAATAACTGTATTGGTATTGTCTAACATCAACTCTACTTAGTCGTTACTACTTGTGTATAACATACTACTCACTGACATTCAATAGTTCATTTTTCTCTCGATAATTTTTAAAGTTGTAAATTACAATGCAATGTAATTGAAATACGTAGATAGTTCTGTAGGGCCAGCGAAATTTCACTAAGCCCTAGCCGAATCATCCGGCAGTTCGGTCACTGAATATCGAATTGGTCATCGATCCCTGTCAAGGTCAAGTATAACCAACGCACATCAGTTAATCGTACGCCATGGACTGGCCCATGCGGCGGACGTCTTACTTTCGCTTGTATCCACTTTAGCTAATATATTTCTGTAATAACGTTCTCTGAGTTGTACAGTCTGCAAAACATCTATAGTACCTTGATACGTCAATGGTTTAGTCCACGCAAGGTGCCGACCACAAGGTGTGACTTCGACGTTAGCTGGTTCGTCACACCATTTCCATCTAATTCGAGTAGGCCTCTAATCATTCGACATAGATCATCTACGCTGGTGATTTACAATTCTAAGGTTTCGTATTCATCACTGACTTTTCTACAGACAATATTGCATGCCCTATCCACTTGGAGAATCTTTTCCTAATTTCTTCCTCAGTTGGAAGTTGGTTTGTACTTTCCCACAATAGGCTACTGCTGACGGTATGCGGACAAATGACATTGAGTATCTTACGTAAAGAATGGGTAATAAATACATGTAATTCCTGGATGATGGTTGAAATAATTCTCCAATTTTTATCTCCGTACTATAAAATTGTCTTGATGTTTTTATTGAAGATTGTGATTATTGCTGGCTTGCAGACAATTGTTTTGTTCTTCGGCTGTCGGAATGGATTGTTGGTCAATGCCTTCACATTTTAATCAGATCCTACTTGTTCATCGACGACGCTTGTCTATGTACGTGGAAGTTTGCACGTCAAACATGGCTACTCGATCAAGTGTGATGGGATTGTTGTTCTTAGTGATGTAATTCAGAATGTTACCCACTCATTTCGGCATGTTGAGAACTACTAATTAAGTGGGTATTGAATAATTGATTATTTACTCCATTTCCTACTGTGAATGGGATAGAAAAGACAAGTGGAATTGGGAAGTGCGAAAATCTAATTGGATGAGATCTATCAGTTGCACGCACTGTTACACGAGGCAGCTCACTCGTCCACATCTTATTTCTTACGCTAATTCATCAGCTAGCCTTCTTTCCAGTCTCTTACCAGCACCTCTTCTTCTCCTTCTTCCTCTAGAATCATTCTCAACAGAAAGTGTAAATTACAATGTTATGTAATTGAAATACGTAGATAGTTCTAAGGTTTCTTATTCATCGCTGTCGTTACCATAAACCGTACACCTTTACATGAGAATGGGAGTCATATTTGGAGTTTCGTATCTTCGTCGTTTTCTCCAAATGAATGCCAAATCACTTTCCAGAATGATCAGTCTATGGAAAGTCAACATCAGCTGGACAATAGAAGGCGTGTAGAATAGACACTGAGAAGGAATCTAGTGTAGATATTCGCCTAAGAAAAATTACGTTCCATTCGGGTATACGAAGAAAGTTCGAGCGTTATAACAAAAACATTTTGTGT